GGGTGAGACGCAGAGGCACAAGGTAGGGAGAAATGGGGTGTTTTCAGCTGGGATTTCAGAGAAGAGCGGGCTAGTCAGTGAAGCACAGCCATTCCCCCAGGGACGAATCACAAGCACTCGCCCCCAACCTACCTCCCATTCTCCACACAGCCACCTCATCCTCCCCTCTCAGAGCGAGGATGCTCTCCGCTCCACCAGCCTGGCCACGTATCTTGACAGCCCGACCAGGGTTGGGGATCCATCAAATCTGTCTCACATGGCTGTGAAGCAGGTTTGGCAGGGCTAGGGCCAAGTCAGTCTCTCTGATCCTCAGTTCCCCAACTGTGAAATGGGGGTAATAGCACTGCTCTACCTCACAGGGGTGTTGTGAGGATTGATGTGTTACTTATTGTGAGATGCTCAGCCACGGCAGTGTCGGGGGCCAGAGCAGACAGACAGAGAGAGACAGATGGATGCATCTGTTCTGGCTGACATTGGCCCCTGAGATTTCTTCATTGATGGCGTCTCTTCTGGGTGAGGACCCTTCAGAGTTGCAGGGCTGGGCTGGGGACCTCCTGGATTCACTCCCATTTCTTCCCAGTGATGGTGCAGTCTTCTCTCCTGGCAGATTCTGTGAAATACCTCGAGTGCTCGGCGCTGACGCAACGTGGCCTGAAAACGGTGTTTGACGAGGCGATCCGAGCGGTTCTCTGTCCCCAGCCCACCAGACCAAAAAAACGGGGGTGCAGCCTCCTCTAGGGGTAGGTGAAAAAGGGCTCCCCTCCCCTCCAGACCCCAGTCTATCAGCACTAAGGGGATTTGTCTCTGTCGATAACCCCCTCGCCCCTTCTCTCCCTTGAAAGGACCCTGATGCTGCCTGGGGGGAGCCCTCTGCCCTGAAGAAGACCCCTTGCAGGACTCCCCTTCCTGCCGCACCACTCTCATGAACTTCCTGACTCTACCCTGAAGAGAGGCTGCTGTTGCCAGCTTCCCCCAATGGGACCCCCAAACCTGCCTCTGATCTGGGACCTCAGTGCTTCCTTGGAGACAGGGGCGACCTGTTGTGGGGGGTGTGGAGCTTAAGCCCCTCCCCTTAAAAATCAACTCGACATATACGGAAAACAGCAAAAAAGCCCCTCCCCCTGCAATTTTCCTGCTTGGCCACTAGGGGCTGCTTTGTAACTGTCCATTACCAGGCAGCCGCTGCCTCTCCTCCCCCTTCACATTGCTTCCCCTGCTCTTCCCCCACCCTCCACATAAGACCCCAGGGAGGCAGGAGAGAGGCACAGAGTGGCCAGGGACAGGAGACAGAGCTGATCAGGGCCAGGTGAGGGAGAAAAAAGGCTCTCTTCTCTCCTCACACCACAGCTGGGCTGGAATGGGAGGGATGGATGAGGTGGGGAAGGCAGGATGGGAGGGTACGAACTGGTGTCACAACCTGCCTCCTCTTGTTATTCCATACACAGATTCCAGCCCCAGTCCCCAGCTCGCTCGTGACACCAGGCTCTGCTGATGTAACAGTGCTTGAAGGTTTCAGCGTCTTGGACCTTGGTACTGCTTGGTGGTCACAGTGCTTGTTTGTTTCTGCTGCCTAGAAGGACCAATATGGGTCTGTAGCACTCATTTGTCCATTTGCACAACCTCCCTCCCTCCTCCCGTCAATTTCTGTGTAGGGAATGAGAGTTAATAAACCAACTGTACCTTCCTGCCATTGGTGTCTTGTGTCCCTTCTCTGGCACTTCGCTGCAAGCTTGGCTGTCCAGGTTTGATGCTGTGGCTGCACCATGCTGGCTGTGGCATCTCTGGACACTCGGAGGGACCACAGCCAACCAGCGGAATCCCTCCTGCAGCCGTCAGACTGGCTGGGCGTCACCGCAGCTGAGATTCAAGCTGGGGACGGTGGGGGGGGGTTCTGAAGGCAGTGTCAGCTGAAAGGGAGTGGCCTCCTATCTCTGGCTGAGCTGGTATGTGCCTGCATTTAGCTGTTGCTAACCTTCCTTCAGATCTGCCTGTTTCTGTGGGAGAAAGTCTCCTCTCCTCAGGGACCTATCAGCCAAAGGGCCTAGCCTGACAGAGCCCAGGCAAGCCTCTTCCCCAAAGGCAGAGGAAAGGTAAGGCTAGCAAGTCTTTTGTGAGGGGCACAGGAAGGGAGCCTAGGACTACCTGAACTTATGGATCCTCTAGAGCGCCTGCTAATACGGTCTGTCAGAGCTTACATACTTTCCTCAACGGACCTGTACACACCATCACTTATGCCTACACCCATACACACACCTATACATACATTGGCACTCACTTACATAGCCAGACATACAGAGAGGTAAGCGGGAAGTGGGGGGCGGGGTGGGGATGAGTCATCAACCAAGGCAAATAGCCCACTGATCTGCTGAAATCCAACAGATGAGAGCTGCCCCAGCAGGGCGATGGAATCTGCAGCTGACGGCACCTGGGTGACTGATTCACTGCAGGGGCGCCAGGAGCCTTGGCTGCTGCTAAGAATAGGGAAAGCAACATTACGTGATGGCTGTTAGGGCAGATTCCCGAGCAGACTTCTCCCGAGCACTGCAGATCCTGGCTCACCCAGGCTTCCCTTCTCCCCACCCCCATTACCAGGAGTCTAACGAGCTGGAGGAGGGTTCAGGACAAAGCAAACGGTAAAGAAAAATCCAGAGGCAGTAATAGGAAAGGGCAGGGGGACTGGATTGAACCAGCTTTCCACTCTGCAACAAAGAGTTTCACAGGTTAATGTCAGCTAAGGTCTGTAACAGAAAATTCCATGGGTTAAACCCTGGTGGTGGGGAGTTCCTCAGGTTACTTCAGGGGTAGCTCAGAGGCAAGGCGCACCTCAGAGACAGCCTGTGGCACTATGTTTCATGCATTAACCCCTGGTAACATTCAGTGGCGGTGGGCTCCGCAGATGCCTGCACTGCGAGATGAAGTGCCTGGGCCCAAGTCACAGCTGGTGTGAGTGCGGTAGGCACAACACAGTGGAGTCTGGTCTCAAGTTCCCTACACACACATATGTATGGGGGGTGTAAACACCAGAATCTATCACCAACCCCAAGCTTTCAAAACTCATGAGTCAGGCAGGCCTCCCCCACCCCCCCAACAAATCATGAGAGTGGCTTAAAATCTGAGGACTCATCCCAGGCTGAGGTGTCGGCAGAGGAGGTTTGGGAACTAATCGATAAATTAAACAAATAACTTTTTCACACCCCTGAGCGCCATAGCTATGTTGATCTACATTTTAAGTGTAAACCAGGCCTAAGCCAGCATTGCGGTCCTTTTATTGCAGCTCAGCTGACACAAAAAGGTTCCAGCAGAGCCCAGAACTGGGATCCCAAACTGTAAGCTGCAAGCAAGCTGGGAGGGGTTGCAAGCACTTTGCAGGATAGGATTAGAATTCAAAATGACCTTGACAAATTGGAGAATTGCTCTGAAATCAAGATGAACATCAATGAAGACAAGTGCCAAGTACTACACATAGGAAGGAAAAATCAAATGCACAACTACAAAATGGGAATTAACAGGCTAGGCGGTAGTCCTGCAGAAAAGGATCTGGGGTTTATTGGATCACAAATTGAATATGAGCCAGCAGTGTGATGCAGTTGCAAAAAAAGGCTAATATCACTCTGGGGTGTATTAACAGGAGTGTTGTATGTAAGACATGGGAGGTAACTGTCGTACTCCATTCTGCACTGGGGAGGCCTCACCTGGGGAACTGTGTCCAGTTCTTTCCTAAAGTGTGGACAAATGGGAGGGAGTCCAGAGGAGAGCAACAAAGAGGATAGGGTTCGAAAACCTGACCTATGAGGAAAGGTTGAAAAAAACTGGGCGTGCTTAATCTTGAGAAAAGAAGACTTGCGGTGCAGGGACCTGATAACAGTCTTCAGTTATGTTAAGAGCTGTTATAAAGAGGACGGTGATCAATTGTCTTCTATGTCCACTGAAGGTAGGACAAGAAGTAATGGGACTTAATCTGCAGCAAGGGAGATTTAGGTTCGATATCCAGAAAAACTTGCTAACTACAAGGGTAGTTAGGCTCTGGACCAGGCTTCCAAGGGCAGTTGTGGAATCCCCCATCACGGGAGGTTTTTAAGAACAGGTTGGACAAATACCTGTCAGGGATGCTCTAGGTTTACTTGGCCCTGCCTCAGCACATGGGACACGGGACTTGAGTCGACAACTCAAGGTCCTCTCCAGCCCTACATTTCTGTGATTTTATGTTCAGTCGATGGAGTTGCACTTGTGCCCATTTGTATCAGGTCCGAATTTGGCCCTAGGAGCTCAGATATTGAAGGTGGGAAGTGGCAACCAGCAGGATCTCAGATGTGCCCCAGAGAGGAATAGGAAACAAACAGAAATCACTCTCATGAAGGAGGTGAGGAAAGGAGCCAGGGAAAGAGAAGCCATTAGTGGGAGGCCCGCAGAAGGAACAATGCTTGGCAATGTGGGGTTATTGTTTTTATCCAGAGGGAGTGTTTGCAGAGGGGGCTGGATTTCTCCCCTTGGAGCCAATCCCTTTCTGAGCCCGAGATCTGATCACCTGTTTGCTGAGGTGAGGCAATGGGCAGAGGAAGGGGGGGTCTCGTTCCCTAGGAGAGCTCCAGCAGGGAAATGGAATGTGCCCTCAGATAGGTAGGTGGTAGAGACAGAAAGATCCCTACTCCCCCATTCACCCTCCCTTGTCCTATTGGAGATGCTTGTGGGACAGAGGCGGAGAGAAGGGTGGCAGTGGAAGCTGGGGTTCATGCCCCCCCTCTGAGACCCCTACATATACCAATGCGCTGTGATCATGATGAAGCCCTGAGGGCACCAATTGTGCCTGCCTAGACTGTAAGCCCCTTGGGGCAGGGAACTCCTCTGCTGCACGTCCGTAATCCCCCACCTCGCCTGCGGCCCTATAGAAAAACTCCCCCTAGAGAGTAGGGCTCAGCCACCTGCTCCATCCAGCCTGCCTCCCCTGCACTGCGTTCTCACAGCACCCAGCCGCTCTCTGCATCTCTCCTTTCCTGCTTTCACTCTCCTCCACTCCCCCTCATTCCTTCTCCGTGTCTGGCTTGCCCTCCGTCACCATCTGTCACAACCACCCCCTCATTCCTGTTCTCTCTCTCCCTCCCCCTCTTCCTTTCTCCCTCCCTCCCTCTCTCTCTCCATCATAATCACTCTGGTACTCCCCTCTTTTCCTTCTCCCCGTTCTCCCTCCCCTACCATTCATTCTCTCTCTCTTATTCTCATGCTCTCTCTCCCCCCCACCCCACCAAGTCTATGCTGATTGGCTGATGGGATCATTCCCGGGAGTAACTGACACGCTTGATATACCTAACCCTGTCCACCAAGCCCCCACTTCAGTGGGTGGAGAGCTGGAGAGGTGAGTCCTGGCTCCCCTGAGCGGTGCTGGGAGCTGGATCTGGTCCCTGCAGCAGGCAAGCCCTGGAGACCAGATGGGAGAGTGTGAACATCCAGATGAGGCAGTGCTGGAGGAAGGCAGAAAAGTCCCACCACCTCTGGAACAGCAGAAGAGGTGAGGGCAGCAGGCACCTCTGGAGAGAAGTGTGACAAGCAATTCCAGCCCCTCAAGGACTCAAACCACACAGAGATTTCATTGGGAAATTGTTTTTAAAGGAGAAGAAACAATATGACACACATTCTCCCTGCGCGTGGAGGAACATGTAAATTCCATTGACGCGTAAGTACCAGGCAGATCTGCCTCCTCTTTTCGCCCTCTCCTCCAGGCGCTCTCATGTGCAGAAGTTGGTTCTGCCGTCCCCCCACATGGAACCTGCTGCCTCCCCTGCCCTGCTCCGTCCCCACAGACTGGGGGCTGGCGACGGCCATGGTGTCTGTACCCAGTGCAGGGGGTGAGAGAGTCATGAACTGGAGTAGGAATGAATGGGGGCAAGGCAAGGTGGGAGGGACGGAGAAGGTGCAGGATTCGAGAGGGATGCTATGTACATTGTTGCAGGGAATTCTAGGTGGGTTTCCCATCACTTACAAAGCTGATCTATACTTGGGTGATTCCCCTCCCTCCCCCCAATTTCTCCCTCTGATTCCTCATTTCCCACTGACAATGTGGAGTAAAAAGGTTTCTTATTCCTAAAGACTTTGGATTTATTAGATAAAAATAGAAATTGGCATTTACCTCACAAACCCCCACCTCCCTGGGTCCCCAACCCCTCAGCACAAACACACTCGTACCACTGTTATTGTTTATTTGCATTACTGCAGTACCTAGAGACCCCATCAGGTGCCCCAGTACAAAAAGTCCTGGCCCCAAAGAGCTTATAAGCTAAGTAACCAGGTTTTTGATCCTATACCTCAATAGTTTCCTCAGCCTCATTGGGTCCACCACATCTGCACCCCCCTCCCAGAGGTCCAACCACACCAATACTCCCATGATCCCCATGCCTGCAGTCAGAGCGCCCACTGAGATCCATTGCCTCTACCTGCTGCTCTTTATGGGACTTAGATTTCAACACTCCTTACTTCCTGCCATCAGCCTATTCCTATTCTCTAGGTATGTCTACATGGCACACTAAGTCTGGGCTCTGACTCAAGTTTGAGCCCAAGCCCCCTTCCGTCCACACACAAATCAGCCTGCCTTGGGTCAGCAAGCATTCAGGACCTGGGTGGGTCAGAGCCTGAGTCCAGTTGAGACTCAGGTCCAAGCCCTGTCATTGTGCAGTGGGGAGGCAGGTCAAGTCACTGACCTGAGTCAGAAGATCTGCGTAGCGCAATATGGACATGTTAACACAGCTGTAAGACTTGGGGCCAGCAATTGTAAACTCAGGCATACAATGCAGGGTGGATGCTCAAGTGTGAGGTTGGAAACACTGCGTCCACAAGCCCAGGTCCCACAGACCTGGGCTTTACTGTGCAGTGGGGACATACCCTCTATCACTCTACCTGGCCCCCATGCCTGCCACTCCCCTGAAAAAATGAACATGTATATACACCACTGAGAAGGCTCTGGAAAAGCTTGGAGAAGAGTTCAAAGAATCATAAAGGTTAGAAATTGGAAAGGATTGAATCATAGAATTATAAAACCAGAGGGTTAGAAGGGACCTCAGGGATCATCTAGTCTAACCCCCTGCCAAGATGCAGGATAAGCTTTCTATTCAGTCCATCTTTCCCGCCAGCGCATGGCAGCCCCTTGCAGTGTATTCTCAGGGCTTTGCCTGCCTCGTATTAAGTGGCCCAAGTGATGGGGCTTCCATTGCAAAGTTATTCCACAGTCCAATGGACTTCACTGTCAGGAAACCTGAGCTTCCCATTGTTCAATTTCATCCCATTACACCCCCCTTAGACTTCCCTAAACTGATCAGCTCCCTCTCTGGGCATTTCCACTCTATCCCTGTCATAAACCAGAAGCTCATTCAACACAGATAACAAGGATAACGTAAGGATGTCCTAGTTGTGTTTGGTAGAGAATCAGGGCAGAGGGTGTCTGCTGGAATGTGGGCACAAGTAGAAGGTGTGAAACACGGGAGGCGCGGTGGTGACCAGAGGAGGTGTATCTGAGAGGTTCATCACAACACATTCCGATATGATAAGAACCAGCCCAAACCTCAGACTTTGCCTGAGGCTTCCAGAAGTTTGATTAATGTTTTAGATTTTTAATATCAAATTTTGCCTGCCCTGGTTTTGTACTGTTTGAAAAACACCATGAGGGAAAATAGTTCTTAGCTAATTTCTGAACTGCTGGAGATGGGTAGGATTGGAAATCATGTCCTTTGAGATTCCCAGCCCTTGTTACGAGGGAAAAGCTGGGCTAAGCTTTGAAACATTGAGGGGTCTCCCGGCCCAGACCCTCAGGTGAGACTGGGGTGGGAAAGGTGCCATCTATTCCTGGGGCTAAGCATCCATCCCCTTCCATGCAAGTCGTCCCCACTTACAATATGGCTATTTGAGGAGCTAACCAAGCAGTGGGATCAACACACCAAAGGGTGACAAAGGCATGGGGCTGCCATTTGAAATCTCAGAGGGGCTCTTCCAGATGCTAATCCAAGAGCATCGCAGACATGCCACCATAGAAGCCTCTGGCATAGCTTGGGGCAAGAGGCTGTGTCTCCACACTTTGCCCTGTGCTGGGCTGCGGCTCCCACATGGCCCCAGCCCCGCCGCAAAGAATCGTGTCCCTCCTGTCCCATGTTCAATCTCTGCCATTGTCAGTGGAGGTCTGGCACACACACAAGCTGCCTGTTTGTGCAGGGTTCACTCTAAGCGTTTCCATGCCAAAGCCTGATGTGATGGGCAATTGGGCATCAAAAGATTAAGAGCCCTTGAAGTTTATTTTGGTGCTGTGGAGTGGTAAGGCAGGGACGTCCCCTTCCATTAGGGACTTGGATTCGAGAAGGCTGAGAGCTGCTGCTGCGGTGCAGGGAGAGTGAGAGCGGGTGGTCGCTGGATGTATAACGCCATCTGCCTCCAATGGGAATGTTATAAATACTCCATCTCCTCCTTTATTCATGTGCAGGGATGATGCAAACCTGCCTCTCCTTCTTCCAGGACACTAAGCCAAGCCTCTGACAGTTGCTCTGGACTTCAAGGGGATTTCTCAGCCTCAGTGGTGGGGGTGGACAATAATGTCCTGGTCCAATTGCCCAGGCAGCAGTGTTGATGCAGAGAGCACGTAGGCAATGTGGAGGCAAGGTCTGGGTGGGGCAGCTTCACTGAGGGACCCTGCCTGGGAGTTCTTCCCCAGGATAGACGTAAGGAATATGCTCCTGGGCCAGTGTAAAGAGGCTTCAGCATACATGAGAAGCAGGCCCCCTGAAACTAACTTCACCAGTCCCTGAGCCATTTTCAATAGGAAACGGAGGCCTGTGATTGCTCCCTTGGTCTCTTTCCCCTGGGAAGTCCCTTGGCTGTATACCAGGCCATTTTCCTGCTGGTCCCGATCACCCAATGGTGGTTCTTAAACAGCTGGTCACATCTGACATTCTCCCATGTGCTCCAGAGACTCTGGCATCTGAACCCCCCTCTTCTTCCCACCTGTGGCTGTGCCCACGTGTCGTTATGCCTGCTGTTTTATCTGTGGCTTGTTCGGCTCTGACTTTTAAAGTGTAAATACCTTTCTTCTTCCTCTCCTCCTGCCTCCAACTCTCCAGCTGACCCAGTGGGAGATCGCCCCATCCTTCCTCTGCCATGGACTCTCCTGCTTTCGCCTTCCCCACTCCTGTGGCTTCTGAGGAGGGGAACATCTCCACCAGCTGGGCAAGTTCTACCCCGGGGAACCTATCCACAGCTGCCAGCCCGGGCATGGATGTCAGCGGAGTCCTCATCCCTCTGGTCTACCTCATTGTCTGCGTGGTTGGGCTGGTTGGGAACTCCCTGGTCATCTACGTGGTCCTGTGCCACTCGGTGAGCGAATCGGTGACCAACGTCTATATCCTCAACCTGGCGCTGGCGGACGAGCTGTTCATGCTGGGGCTGCCTTTCCTGGCTGCGCAGAATGCTCTCTCCTATTGGCCCTTTGGCTCCTTCATGTGCCGCCTGGTGATGGCCGTGGATGCCATAAACCAGTTCACAAGCATCTTCTGCCTGACTGTGATGAGCGTCGACCGCTACCTGGCCGTGGTGCACCCAGGGAAATCGTCAAAGTGGCGGACGGCCCGCGTGGCCAAGGCCGTTAGCGCCACGGTGTGGGTGCTGTCGTCAGTCGTGGTGTTGCCGGTGGTGGTGTTCTCGAACGTCCCCCTGGGGATGAGCACCTGCCACATCCAGTGGCCCGAGCCAGCCTCCATGTGGAGAGCTGGCTTTATCATCTACACGGCCGCGCTGGGCTTCTTCGGGCCGCTGCTAGTGATCTGCCTCTGCTACCTGCTCATCGTCGTCAAGGTCCGCTCTTCCGGCCGGAGGGTGCGGGCCCTTTCGGCCAAGCGCAAGCGGTCAGAGCGCAGGGTCACTCGCATGGTGGTGGCTGTGGTGGCCGTCTTCGTGCTCTGCTGGCTTCCCTTCTACGTGCTCAACATCATCAACGTGGTCTGCCCGCTGCCCGAGGAGCCGTCTCTCTTCGGGGTCTACTTCCTCGTCGTGGTGCTGCCCTACGCCAACAGCTGCGCCAACCCCATCATCTACGGCTTCCTCTCCTACCGGTTCAAGCAGGGTTTCCGCAGGGCCATCCTGAGGCCGTCCCGCCGGGTGCAGAGCCAGGAGGTGCAGAGCCAGGCACGCCCCCCAGAGAAGACGGAAGAGGAGGAGGAGGAAGCGGAGGAGAGCGGGGTCAGCAAGATTGCCCAGAATGGCAATGGCAGACAGGAGTGTCCCCTGGCCAGTGCAGCAGCAGGAGGCAGTGAGCAGAAGCCACTCCCGGAGGAGCCTGGGAGCTGTGATAAACCCAATGCACTGCACATCAGTTATTTGTAGAGAACGGAAGGGGGAGGCTCTGTCCCTCAGTCTCCTGGACACTCCAGTCTGTATCTGTGGGGGGTTGCGGACTGCGAGGCAGCAAGGTCTAAGGTCTAAGGTTGAAGATGAGGCGAGCTCGAGGAGTGTTGGGAAGGGCAGAGCGCCTCCTGTGACTTCAGAAATCCCTGTGGGAGGCGTGGGGCAACAGCAACTGGGCTGGGCTCGGAAGGGGGACTGGATAAGGGCAGACGGGGGTGGGGAGCTACAGAGAGGAGTCCAGCACTGAATCCCCCTATAACCCACATAGAGTATTATGAGTGGTTGCCAATTACTCTAATGCCCTCGTCACTGCCCAAGTTGTTCCAGTGTCCATGGGAACCAGACACTCTGGGGCAGGATCATGGGAACAATTCCCACCCCCCAACAAACACATAAAGTCTGCCCCCTAGGGCTGTCATAGAATCATAAAATATCAGGGTTGGAACGGACCTCAGGAAGTCAACTAGTCCAACCCCCTGCTCAAAGCAGGACCAATCCCCAATTTTTGCCCCAGATCCCTAAATGGCCCCCTCAAGGATTGAATTTACAACCCTGGGTTTAGCAGGCCAATGCTCAAACCACTGAGCTATCCCTTCCCACTGTCCTCCCCAGCTGCTCTAGTATCTCTTGGGGACAGCTCCCCACCTCCTGTATGATCTGATACTGTCTCAACTGCATGGAATATCCTGGTTCTTTAAAGGGTTCTCACGTCCCACCTGCAGACTGTTCTGATAGGGCTGGTTTAGGACAGTGGAGCAGAGTATGAGACACACCCTTCCCCATCTCGAGATCCCAGGGTTTCATGGTGTTATTGTGCCCTGGTGGACGACTGAAGAAGACCAAGAGGCCACGGGTTGGGGGCAGGGCGTTCTGCAAGCTGTAATTTCCACCACCCTCCTCCATCTTATCACGAATAGACATAAAGATTTAGGACCCCGTGAACAATTTCAAAGGATCAGTCTGTGTGGTGTGCGTATGATTGTGCTGGGAGGATGAGGGCACATGTGTGAAAAACGGGGGTGGCTGTGGGCAGGGGGGCAGCTGTGTGGGAGTTAGGGTTGCCAGGTGGCTGGCTTTTGACTGGAAAGTCCAGTCAAAAGAGGACCTGTGCAGTGTCTGGGGGTTTTGGACACCAAAAGTCCGGTTACCGCACTGACCAGCCTCCGCTGCCGGGTGGGTGGGAAGAGCAGCTGCTGCTGGAAAAGCTCAGTTGATGGACTGGAGAGAAGCTTAAGAACTGGCTCCCAGCTCCGGGGGAGAGGAGGTAGGTACCGCCTTCTCAGCTGGGGCTCGCTCCACCCTCCCATGTCCCCTCACTCTTGCTCCAGGGACTGACACCCCCCTCTGCTGGGCCCCTGATTGTCCCCTGCCCTGCCATGCCCCAATTGGGCAAGCAGGCAGGCTCCATGTCAGCTCCTCCCAGCCCGCTCTGCAGGTGGCAGACGAGTCCCATGGGAGAGTGGAGCGAGCGACTGGGAGGAGGCTGTAGTGTCTGGTTTTTAAAAAATTGGAAAGTTGGCAACCATACTGGGAGTGAGGGTGTGAATTTTTGAGAATATGGTAATGCCCATATAGCTGTATGGTGGGCAGATTTGTGTGTGTGTGTACAGGGGTTCGGGACTGTTTTTTCCGTGGGTGTGTGTATGTGAGGTTTTTGTACAGGTACAAGGACTGATTTTGTCTCTGTGGGGGTGTTTGTACAGGTGCAGGGGTTGATTTGTCTTTGGGTGTCTCTGTGGGGGTGTCTGTACAGGTGCAGGGGGTTGATTGTCTCTGTGGGGGTGTCTGTATGGGTGCAGGGGGTTGATTTGTCTCTGGCAGTGTCCGTGGGGTGTCTGTACAGGGGTGGGAGCGCATGGGTACGAAGGTGGATTTATCTGCATGTGTGTGGTGGAGAGGTGGCTACATATGGGGGTGTATGTGTGAGCATCTCTCCCTCTCCCTTGCTCCATTCCTGCAGGTTCTGATAAATGCCTCTCCCCATATCTTGAACTTTTCTATAAATGCTGTTGCTAAGATACAGCGATCAGTAAGAGCGACTTTAAATCCAGAGTCTTCGGTAGGATTCTGGGCACCTTCCTCCAGGGGCGGCTTTGGGGAAATTGGAGGCAGCGTGGGCGTGTGTGTGTTAAAGACCAGCCAAAAGGAGAAAGTGCTCCAAGAGATAAGGAAGATCCTGCGGGATGTGTAAACGGTGTCTCTCTGGGGCAGAAATACTTTTCAGTTCAAGGGGCATCTCCGAGAGGGAGGGGGCAAGACTGTGAGGGGCTAGTTGTATCATCGTAGGGAGCAGCCACAAGACCAAAAACACAGAACAGATTTGAAGCCAGGGTAGAAAAATGCAGTGGGAACAGCAGAGAAAGCAGGCTTGAATGGTAAGATCAGCCGCACAATGGAATCACGTTCCTGAGGAACAAATTCACTCAGAATCAATATGTGGCTAAATGAGAACTTGTTGGTCACTGTGGCGATACCCAAGCCCAGGGAAAGCAGCCAGGGCTGGGCAAGGAGTGTACTAGGGTGGGTGTCTTCCAGCTGGACTGGCTGTCAAGGAGGGTTAACAGATACTGACCCAGCTGTCTTGGTGCTGGATTGTCTGTGACTGGGGGTGGGGTTAGGGCTGATACCCCTAACCCTGCAGTCCCAGCACTGGACTCTCTGTGAGTAATAACCCTCCCCCCACCCCAGGCCCATCGTTTCTTCTCTTTGAACCCAGTGTCTTGGTACCAGACAATCCATGAGTGAAGAGTAATCCCCACAAATCCCCTTTTCTGATTCCTGAAGCATCCACCCTTGTGCCAGATATTGCAAGACTCTCTTTGGTGAAATGCATTCCCTTTGCTTGGCTGGGAAAGGGGTGCACGTATAAAGATAGGTATATATCACAACGTGAGATTTCAGGGCCTTAGCATCTGATCTCTTTCCTTGTAAATCACTTGTTGTGGTGACTCTTCATGTCCCCTCCTTTCTCCTATATCTCTGGAGGCTCAATCCATGCAGAGATACACTCTCATGGACTCTAATGCAGTCTGCAGTCTAAGGAGCAAACCCACAGCAATTGCAGGGAGTTAGCCAATCTCAGTGGCTAGCCAAAAAGGCCATTCTGACTGTGGAAAGAATTCCAGCTGTCATCTGGTCACCAGGAAGAGACGGGATCATGAGATCCCCACCAAACCATGACGATCTTCCAGAGCTCCCGTCTATGGCATGGTATAAGAGACAACAGGTACTGGAGAGGAAAGGGCCTAGATTCCACAATGATAGAGGTAAATAGAAAAGGAGTACTAGTGGCACCTTAGAGACTAACCAATTTATTTGAGCATAAGCTTATGAAGTGAGCTGTAGCTCACGAATACAGACTAACACGGCTGCTACTCTGAAACCTGTCATTATGAGAGGTAAATAGGTAGATGTCTTGATCCTGCTATTAGGTGGTATCACAGCAAGGGCAATGCTGGGTAATTCTGAAGCAAAAAGGACTGCTGGAAGACAGTAGTGAAGATGGCATTGGACTTCTGGGAAGGGAGGCAGCTGATGGCTTATTTCTGAGCAATGAGTGGAATGAGTGTAACAGCCGGGAGAGGACACAGCAGGAGAGAGGCAGCTCAGAGTACATGGAGAGCAGACACATGAAGGTTTCCCATCTCCTTTTAGACTGGCTACATGACTGCTCTAGCTCCTGGCTTGGGGAGGGAGGGATCCCTGGCTGTCAATTATATTATCAATGTACTATGCATGCCACCTGGGCCATAGGATGAAGTAGAAACCCTTTGCCAGATTCATGGATTAGGGGGAACAAATAGAAAATGAAAAACAAATCTTTTTTTTTTTCAAAAAGTCAGAAAAAAAATTAAAATAAAAAATTGTCTGCAGAACTTTCCCTTGTTGATGAAAAGGCTGGTTTTCATTGAGGGGGTAGGGGAGTGAAAAATTTCAGCTAGTTCTGTCCCACAGCCCTACCTGCCCCTGTTCCTCTCACTGCTGAGTTCACAGCTGCAGTCTGCTTGTGCTGCCGTGTGCAAATTGCTAATTGCATTCATGTGGCTGGCCCTGTGCATCCCTTCTGGTTTGGGCCCTGCAGTGGGCTGGCTCTGGGAAAGATAGGGGCTGAAGTCATGCACAGCAGCTAGTTGAATTCTGGACATGTTCAGGGGGATTTGTTCTAATCAGACGTGGAAATGGATTTTTCTATTCTGGCTGCAGAGAAACAGAGATAAGGGTGCCATCAAACCCTCCGCCACACAAAGGGTTTCATTCTTATCACGTAGAGACTAGAGCTGCAAGTCTAGCAGAGGCCACAGCTCTTCCAGCAGCCCCTGCAATGCCTCTTTCCTGCTTGTATTTGATCATAGTCAGGGTGCTTAGAAATAAAAGGACCCCGTTCTGCTGGCACTGCAAGAATGTGTGTGTGCGCTTGCCAGCATGCGCATGCGTGTGTGTATTTAAAGCAGGGCTCTGATTACTGACCTTGAAAATATACTCACAACACAACACCCTATGTACCCCCACTAAGCCACAGTCTGCACCCACACAGTCACTGAGCTGTACCTACTCCCTGCTCGACCATACCCTGCTGCTGTAACTTTGTTGAAGAGAACTTTGCAGAGATGAAAAGGGCCACGTGGAGGGGTTCAGCCTCACTGAGGGGAGGGCACGTTACAAGGCTGTGCTGCTTACACAGCCTGCACTTGATATCCTTCTCAGCTATTTTCAGGAAGCCATTGTTTACACGATCCGTATGGTAAAACAGCAGCTCCGATAAGGTGAATGGCAAACCCACGCAGGCACATGGCATGTGCCTTCGCTTCTGAATTGTTTGGAGCATGGGTCAAGGCTGCAGGCTGGGGGTGGTTTCTAAACAGTTCTTGATGCAGGAGAACCAAACACACAAAAATGCAGAGAGATGTGAACAGATTAGATGCTCCCTGATCTCCTGGGGAATGCAATAGCGAACTGAAACCCTTTATCTGCTTGAACGAGGGGAAAATATGCAAATATTTGCTCGTGAAAACTTAGTGTTCTTTGCCTTCCCAAGCTTAAAATATGCAAATGCAAACATAAGGCACCCACCTTGCACAGATCTCACACCCAGACACACAAAACCCCCGGCACAGAAACACAGACGCAGCGCCCATCTAAACACATGCACGCTCAGCGTAACAGGTACCATCTAATAAGTATACACTCCCCCTGTGGGACACAAATGCAACCCTAAAAATATACACACAGATGCATACATGTAAAAACATATCATAGAATCATAGAATAGCAGGGTTGGAAGGGACTTCAGGAGGTCATCTAGTTCAACATCCTGCTCAAAGCATATATGTGCATGCTAACTCATGTATGGTGCCTAGGCAGGCATTTAGAAACACGCTTGCAACACATCCTGTTCCCTGCAAATGGTGTTATATCAGCATCTCCAGTTAAGTGAGGAGCAAGGGGCTGTAGTACAGGAAGACACCTTGCCTAGCACATTCTGTGCCTGTTGTCGGCCATAGGTACAGCTGCACCCATGTTTTTAAGGCCTGCGGTAGGCAGGGCTAAACTGCTTGGGCACCATGGCTTCATCCGACACTCACTGCAATAAATGGTAGTCTTTCCACTGACCATAGTGGGATTTGGGCTGAGCCCCATGCGAAGAAGACTTACAGCGTTGCCAAGACAGGCAGCTGCACTTCCTGCTCACAACCGGGCCCAGAACATGCCAGTGTGGACAAGGCTTGAAGCAGAGAGAAAATCTAATCACGCCTGTAAGTGCTGCTCCCCGTTTCTCCTGCAGGGGGAGCTATTTGCTCACATTGGCCCCTATCCCGCTACACCTGCCCCCCCTGCAATATCAGGGCTGCCCAGTTCCCAGCACAGCTGTCAAGGCAGATTTGAGGGGGCAGGAGTAGGGGTGAGCAAGGCCCAAACCATGAGATTCCCATTACTCCCTTGCAGACAGTTCCTAGCGGTGGCCAAGGTAACACTACCACACGTGCTGGCCAACACAAAGCAAGCAGAATATTTCCTCAGGGTGGGAGGTGGGTAGTTCTGTCCTGCAGAAGTGGGGTCTCCCCACCTGGAGGCGCCCTGTGCTGGGAGGGGCACAGTCTCCTCCACTCTGAAAATGTGGAATTGTGCAGGGCAGCTGACTGTGGGGCTGGGCATGGCTTTGGGGCTGGGCATGAGGCGAGTGGGAGGAGAGTGGGTCATGTGAGCAAATGGGACCCCTGTGTGAAGAGCCAGGACTGAGCAAACGGCTTAGATGGCAACCCAAACCAGCCCTGCACTCCAGCTATCTGTGAGACCCCTCTCATTTAGGTGACTTTAATGTGCTCCTTGCTGGGGGGGCCTGGGCAAAAGGCCCTGCAAATGGGGCAGATGCAGGGGTGCAACGTCACCGCCTGTGCACCACGAAGCAAGTGCGTTCGCGCTGAGCTGCTGCACAGGAAGAACAGACGAAAGCAGAAGCAAACCTGGACGCAGGCAGTGCTTTACATTTTCCAAAGGCGCCCTAAAATCCTGCAGCTGCCCTCCCTAGGACATGGACCAGTCTGGGGCTCTCCTTCGCTGTCATTTCAGGCTCCATCTAGCCTTAATTCATCCTCCGGCAGAGCTGTGGATGGCACTGCACTGGGTGCATAAAACACAGGCCTCGGAGGGTCTACTAACATGAAGTAATTTAGCCTCATAACATCCCTGCAAGGTAAGAATTAGGGCTGAGATGATCAGATGTGACTAGTAATTCTGGGGGCCCAACCTGAGCTGCCTTAAAGGGGCCTGGCTGTCAGAGGGCAGGAGCTCAGCACTTCCTGACAATCAGGCCCCCTTATGGTGTCTTTTGGGTACCTAAATATTCAGGTACCTAAAATGACTGGTCATTTTTCAATATCTTGGCCTATTGGCCCATTTCACTAAGGCCAGGAGAGCCTAAGTGACTTGCCTGTAACACAGTGAGTTAGTGGCAGGGCTGGGAAGATAACAGAGGATTAACAACTCCCTGCGCTGACTATTAGAAAGCACTCACTCCTTTCCAGGACAGAGCTGGCTCTGCTTCTAAGGAGTAGGCCCTGCTCTAAAAGGGGAATCAGCTGTTGAGTTGAACAATGGGGGCGGGGTGGGGGGGAGGAGGAGAGAAAGGCGGGAGATTGCTTAGCCTGGTACAGTCCACAGCATGAGGGAGGGACTCACAAAGGACCAGACCCTCCTCCAAGGGAGGATGGAAAAGAGTAATTACATAAGAGTCCTTGGCCAGCAGCTGGTTTCAATCAGCTGGGCCTCCTCTCAGGGGCTCCTCTTGCAGTGCTAACAAGGAGCAGCTGAGGATACACGTAGCTCAGTGCAGGACCTCTCTTAAGGGGTTCAGAGGTAAGGGGTTCCCTGTCTTCCACTTGCAAGGCAAAGCACCTGGAGAGTGGGAAGGGGTGGAAATAGAAAAGCTACTTAATGATAAAGGATAAGTGGCTGGGAAGAAGTGGGAAGGGGCTATTTGCCTTCCTCCAGATATGCATAATGCCTCTAGCCTAGAGAAAGAGCCAGCTCTGCTCAGTGACTGTGGATGATGCAAGGAAGCGTGTGTTTGTCCGTGCGGTGCTTGGACTGCAGGGGGTTGGAGGAGCTCCTGTGATTAGGCCAGGAAGGAGTCAGTGCAGGGGAGGGGACAGTAGTCCTTCTCGATTGGGTTAGGGGACACTTGCAGGGGATGGGTGGCGGGGAGACAGGGCAGGGGTCAGTCTCTGTAGATAGGTTAGGAGTCGTGCATGTGATGGGTGGGGAGGGACAATGTAATGAAGGGGACAGTGGGGAAGCTCATTTCTTTCACCCTCCAGGTTTTGTCCAGTGGGGGGCGGGGGAGCAGCTGCACTTCAGCAGAGAGTACTGGAATCCAATCTGGCAAGAGCTTTCCTGGGTTGGCTTCAAGGCAGAGAGAAAGCATATGTGTGCGCATGCGCAAAGCCCTGTGGATTCCCCATGTGCTCTTGATCAGATGATAAAATAGCCCATGTAAACCGTGTTTTTACCCACTCCGCTAGCTCACAAGAGTGTAGAGAGAAGATGGAAGCCAACCTTCTCCCACTGCTCCAAGGAAAAATGTCTCCCATAGATAAGGTGCTGAGCTGCAAAAGGGGCTGGAAAATATCTTACTTGGAAATAGTCAATAGCTCCCAGCTGAGCTAGGCGAGGGGTCAGCAACCTTTCAGAAGTAGGGTGCCAAGTCTTCATTTATTCACTCTAATTTAAGGTTTCGCGTGCCAGTAATACATTTAAACATTTTTAGAAGGCCTCTTTCTGTAAGTCTATAATATATAACTAAACTATTGTTGTATGTAAAGTAAATAAGGTTTTAAAAATGTTTAAGAAGCTTCATTTAAAATTATATTAAAATGCAGAGCCCCCGGCCCGGTGGCCAGGACCCAGGCACGGTGAGTGCCACTGAAAATCAGCTCGCATGCTGCCTTTGGCACATGTGCCATAGGTTGCCTACCCCTGAGCTAGGCCAAGATGACTCGGAGACTGGCTCTACCTTCATATTCACTCAGTGCTGTGGCTTCACTTTCACACCCCGCAGTAGGCTCCCAACCCTAAGAATAATAATGTTTAGCATTCTACAAAAAATTAACTAATTAAGCCTCCCCACTAGATATGGGAGGTAGCTAATTCAGGGTCATAATCTCTGTCACTATCAACTAGCACAACTCCATTAGCAGGGAATTTGGCCTAGCATCCCCATTTTACATATGGGGAAACTGAGGCACAGAGAGGTGACCAGGCAGGTCCATGGCAGAACCTGGATTAGAAGTCAGGAGTACTGTTGTGAATTGCTGAAGAGCACCTCTGCCCTGGTGAGTCCACCCTGCCGGCTGGGACGAAAGGGGCATGTGTCTATGTGCGTTCACTTGTGGGGGTTCCAGTAGAATAGGCAGGGCAATAACATCTCCAGTGCTCCCCCTCCCTCCTTTGCCCCACGCTCTCTGCACATATTTCCCCAGACTTTCCGTTTGCTTTACCAGTGGTGCTGGGGTTCTTGCCAAGCCACAGCTACTCCTCGGGAAGCGAGCCGGCTGTAACCGCCTCTGACTCCCAAACTAAACAAATTGGAAAAACTTTTCCTTTCCTCAGGCTCCCATGGCCTGTTAAACATTCTCCAGCTTCCCTCTGGAATTACAGGAGTGGAGCAAACCTGCTGAGTCGACACTTATGCTCACAGGGTGGAGGGGGAAATCGCTTTGCTCACCCCTGGCTGTCCATCCCCAGGAACGGGGCCGCAGGCCTGAGCCAGGTCTGACTAGAGAAGGAGCCTGGAAGGCCTCTGGCTTAGCTGCATGGGGAATTGAGGGTAAAGGGAACCCTGCAACAGCACGGCATCTCGGCCCCAGACCCATCACGTAAGGCCCATTGCAGATGGCATGATGAGCTAGCCCAGGGCTGGCTACAAAGAGCCATGTACACACCTGGCTCGAGAGTGCTAGCTGGGGAAGAGTTGGTGGTGTGGGCTTTCCCCAGCGAGGTCACGTTTCAGAGCGTTTCCAGCTGGAGACGCCCTTTCTGGGCAAGATTTCAGGCAGAGGACATGACCCGTGTGCCAGAGAGGGAACCAAAACAGGGAAGAGACAGATCCCTGCCCCAGTCAATAGGAGGCGCTGTAAGGAAATGGAGCAGAGGAGGGAACACTGGGGAAAGCCTGCCCTAGCCACCCAGTAGGGGCTGGGGGTGAGCATCAGCTCTGCCCCAGTGGCAGCAGGGGGGCTAATGCATGGGCAGGCCAGTAGCGAGGAGTGGGTCATGCGGGGGGGGGATGTTTGTGCAGGGCTCGGGGCCCGCGGTGCCGCAGCAGAGCAGAGGGGGCTGGCAGGGAAAGGTCAGGCCTGGAGGGACTGTCTCGGCCAGAAGGGTAAGTGATGGACGGGGACTTGCCCAGTGCCCCTGCTCCCGAGGGACACCCCCTGTGCGTGTCAAACCCCAGCAGGGAGCTGCTGCCACTGCACCCGGGGGGGGCTTGAAGGCAGGGCCCGGGGCTGGGGCGAGGGGGGGGGGGTCTCCTCGCTTTCCAACCTTCCCCAGCCGCACGCAAGGGTTAAAGGCGGCGGTGCGGGGAGAAGGGGGCGCGCCGGGGGCGGGGAGGGAGGCGCAGACCGGCTCTGCGCCGAAGCCAGCGGTTTGCGGTGCCTTTGGCGGCAGCGAGTGAGCGAGCGAGCTCCCCGCGCCCTGCGACTCGGGGCGGGCGGCGCCAGCAGAGGCTGCCCGGCCAGCAGCGGGGCGTGAGCGGCTCGCAGCGCCCGGGGACCCTTCCGCCGGCGGCCTGTCGCCTCTCCTCCAGGGTGAGCCGGGGGCGAGGGCTGCGGGTTGGATCGCAAGCGCGGCTCGCCGGGGCCCTTTGCGCCCCCCAGCTCCGGCGTAGGCGCGGCCAGGCGGAGCTGAGCAACCACGCGGCCCCTTCTGCGCTGCCCCTCGGAAGGCTCCTGCTGTGGGAGCACCGCAGGGCCAGAGGTGGCCCTCGGCTGCCTGCCCCGGCTTCGTGCCGCTGAGAGCAGAAGCTGGCCACTGCTAGCTAAGCCTCCAACGCCGCTCCCCCCGCATGTAAATATTGCTACTCCCCCACGGGGGGCTGAGCCAGAGAGGGGGGAAGTGACTTGGCCAAGGTCACAGACTCAGTCAGTGGAGAGGACTCAGCAGCATGCGGTTTCTAGTCCTGTGAGCGGGTCACCAGGCCGCACCTTGTGACCTTGGCCGTGATGGAACAGTACCCACTGGGGCGTGAGCTGGCTAGATGCTCTCTAATGGGGATTTAGGGCAAGGCTCCAATGAAAGAAAACACCCATTGCTGAGTGAGCCGCAAGAAGTTTGTCTGGGACCCTCCCGCAAGGTTAGAAAGTGATTTGATTTCAGAGTAACAGCCGTGTTAGTCTGTATTCGCAAAAAGAAAAGGAGTACTTGTGGCACCTCAGAGACTAAAAAACTTATTTGAGCATAAGCTTTTGTGAGCTACAGCGGATGCATCCGATGAAGTGAGCTGTAGCTCACGAAAGCTTGTGCTCAAATAAATTGACTAGTCTCTAAGGTGCCACAAGTCCTCCTTTTCTTAAGGTGATTTGAGGCTCCCATGAGCTAACAGGTTTATCGTTCCCCTACAAGATCTCCTGTCCGTCCTGATAGCAGCAGACCGCTCAGAAATACCCTGGTAATGTGCTTTCCCCCCGCGCCCCAATATGTCAGGGCATCAGCTCAGAAGTAGGTATGGTTTCGGCTTTGCCAGCTGTATGAGGTGAGAAAATGACCCAAGCAGGATGTTTTTAGTGTTGTAAGGTCACGACCCTTATCGCAGAGCTAACCTCAGACCTGAGTTTGTTTTCCTCACCAGGGGCTTCTGGATTTGCCTCTTCTCCTTTTATTGCAGCCTGAAGATTGAATCCCCAGGCACTGGTGCCCTGGGTTCCACTGGTTGCACTGTGGGTGCTGGTGCTGTAGGTTCTGGAGGACAGGCCTCCTCTTAGCGCCAGGACTCCAGGGAGTCAGGCATGCCCTAGCCGTGACACCACTAGGCTTGGCCTGCAGCCTTAGCCCTCCAGGGACAGCCATGTATTAGATTCCAAAGTAGCAGCTCTCTACAGAACAGTTACTAACTCTGTCTTTCTGTCTCCTTCTTTCCCTCTCTGCTCCCGTGATGAAATGAACTGGCTTTAGCCACAGAGAATGGAGGTGCAGTGCCCTGCCCTTTCGTGTTGGCCTCTGCCTTGGCTCAGTCATCCCCTTCTTCTGTCTCTCTCTCTTACTGGCTCATGTCTTCCAGGTCACTATGGTAATGATTCAGCTACGAGCTCGCGTGGCCTTCCTTGTGCTCCCTCTGTTTGTATTTGGGGCACCTGCTGATGAGCCCGACCCCAAAGAAGCAACCACCCTCCCAAATGGCTGCAGACGCTGCTGCGACCCACTGGATTCCCATGGCTCCTCAGAGGTCACCCCCAGCCCTGCCGGACGCCATTCGTCACTGTACCCAATGCCGGAGGTGCGTCCGTACATCAACATCACCATACTGAAGGGTAAGTGCCAAGCCGGTGTGCCTGGGACCCAAGGT